CTATCTATCTATCTATCTATCTATCTATCTATCTATCTATCTATCTACCTACCTACCTACCTACCTACCTACCTACAATTTATATTATTCCTATCTCTCGTCTATCTATTCTATCTATCTATCTATCCATCCATCTATTCATCCATCCATCATCTACCTACCTATAATACATGCATATCTATACATCCCTCTCTCTCTAGCTTATCATCCATCTCTGTCATCCATCCGCCCATCCATCTAGTATCTCATCTCTTATGTATTTTATCTATCTTACCTGTCATCCCTATCTGTCAGCCTGTCAGCCCATCCATCCATATCTACACATCCATCCAACCATCCCATTTCCCTCTTTCTCTCTCTCTCGTCTCAGTGACACCCGCGGGATTTCGCTAGCTGACACAATCCACAGGGCTTGCCAAAGGCGGCACGCCACTTACACCAGCATCGTGCGCAACTTGAGGAAGTCGTTGTGTTCGGGATTCTCCACTTCCACCACCCCCCAGGGGTAGAGGCGACCTCGGATCTTTTTCCCCTTCACTTCGATCAGCTGGTTGGACCCGATCACAGCGAAAGGAACACTGGCCTGGAGGAGTCAAGAGGAGGAAGAATGCCACGTCACGCGCCATATTGGAAAGCCGAGAGACCATCAGTTATCCCGTTGATCTTATTCTTCTTGCTGTGCTCCTTGGCCTTTATTTTATTGTCCAGTTGCTTTACTTCGGTTCTGCTTACATTCCTTTCCTTTTCTTCCTTTGTATCACAGGTCGTCCTCAACTTACGTGTCAGGGCTCCGACAATCCACCCCCATTCTACTCATAAGTCTCTAGCTGCATCTCTCAGAGTAAACATTTTTGATTTATTAGGAGTGACCATGTTGGCGTTACCTGGGTGCGCCCAACTCTAACACACATCATTCATTTCACCTTTGACCTTGGTTTTCCCCCCTCCCCACCTCCTGGATGTATATTCTCCACTGGGACACATCCATAGTCAAGAGTCATCCATCATGCTCTCCAGTAATAATCTTGCGCACCAACAGCTTCGGCTGCCTAGCAATTATCTGAAGCATTTAAGGAATGCCCTACTTTCCCCCCCCCTCCCTTTCTGCTGGCAACTAAAAAGACTAAATAAGTATTTTTAGTTGGTCCCTGAGCAAATGTTCGTAAGGTCAACTAAAAAGACTAATTTAGTCTTTTTAGTTGACATTACGAACATTTGCTCAGGGACCGTTCCAAGTTTCAATGGCACTGAAAAAACCCCACTTAGGACCGTTTTTTTACACTTACGACCGTCGCAGCATTCCTCGTGGTCACGTGATCAAAATTCAGATGCTCAGCAACCGGCTCATGTTTATGACGGTTGCAGTGTCCCGGTGGGGCAAGACAGGTCATAAAATGGGGCAAAAATCATTTAACCACTGCCTTGCTTAGTCACAAAAATGCCAGGCTCCATTGGTCAAGGGCGGTCTATCAGGGGTGTCCAACCTTGGCAACTTTAAGACTTGTGGACTTCAACTCCCAGCTTTGCTGGCTGAGGAATTCTGGGAGTTGAAGTCCACAAGTCTTAAAGTTGCCAAGGTTGGACACCCCTGGTCTATATTGTAAGCCATATAGAGTAGGCCCAGGGCGAGATAAGCCGCAAATAAACTTAACAAATAAATGATACATACATAAATACACGGGGGTGAAAGCTGGCAGATTTAGAAGCCCTTTTTCCTGCATGTGAAAAACCACCACTCGTACTTCCAGAAGCCCACGATTTGACCCCACAAACAGCAAAAATTTGCTCCGCCTTCAGCAAGGCACCCTTTTGGCGAAAAGCATCCGGGAACTTAACATTCTTAAGATGCAGATTTTTATCTAGAAAGAATCCAAGGGCGTAACGCTGAACCATTCATTAGTTTTAGCAACCTTTCTCCGTTACCAGCATCTTCTTTCTTTTAACAACCCCCATCATCCTTTGCAAGGTTGGAGTCTGGGCAACCGACACAGAGGTAGCAGAGTATTTACTGGCCGGATGCCCTTCCTGTCGCTAATACAGAGTTTTTTGTTCAGCAGATATATTCTCATTGTGCCCGGAGAGAGAAATATCTGCCTCTACCTAGGATCGAACTCACAGCCTCCTGATTGTGAGGCGGGAGCTGCACCTCTAGGCCACCGCACCACTCCCTTTCTATGTTATCATGGTGCTGGGGGGGGAAAAAGGTGGGAGGACTTACGACTGGTGTCTGTGAAGATTCTCAGTCATCCAGGTCATGGTTGCCCCAAAGGTGCTTTTTTTTCAAGAGGCAACTGGATTTTCTGGTTTTCAAGGCCTTCGAAGAAACAGCCCAGTTGACTTTAAAAAAAAAAAAAAAAAAAAAAGCACCTTTGGGACTTATGACTGGTCCTCCTCTTTGGGTCGTAAGTTGAGGACTATCTATAACGACACAGTTGCATCAGTTTACCTTCAGGACCCTTGTCTGTTCTTTGAACTCTTCGTCCTCGTCGGAATCGGCATCAGGCAGCTGGTAAATCCGGATGCCATGCTCAGATATTTCATCTAACACCTGCCAATGTCAAAAAAGAAAGAAAGAAGGAAAGGAAAGGAAAGGAAAGGAAAGGAAAGGAAAGGAAAGGAAAGGAAAGGA